GCTCATGTACAGAAGCAGAGGTCTCCCTGAGCTGCTCTCACCTCCTCGGAGAGTCTCCAGGCAGTCCTGAGTGATGGGGACGGGGTTGGGTTTAGACAGCGTGTCCGAAATCACTTCAACGATGCATTTCATCACCTGCCGGGGGGGAAACGAAGGAGAATAAATAGCTGGAATCATCAGAGGAGGGATAAAAAGAGAACCTGTCACAAAGCACAGTGCCTGTGTAAGAAGCCTCGGACGGAAGCTGCTCCCTGACGTACATGGGGGGTGGTTGGCTACCTTTGTCCTGGTGCGGCCCTTTCATTCACATGACATCCCGGTGGCCCAAAGATGCTGCGATCACAGGTCTGAACAAGAGGCAGGTGGCTCCGTCATGTCCAGTATGTGTCAGTGACTGAGGGCCCCGCTCTGATTGATGTCTGACAGGAAGTATCACCTCTGGGGTCCACCATCCCAAAATATGCTATTAGGACCGGCCCCGGGGACAAATGCCCCTCTGATTTCAGGCCAGTGACCCCCCTCTGATTGGTTGGTCCGAGTCACTTTGCAGATTCATCCTCCATATAAAAGGCCTGCAAGTCGTCGCTATTGCCATGCTCTCCTCCAATGAGGCCGCAGTACTAGCATTGGCCCCGGAGAGGGGTGGCCCAGGGGCCCACAGCCAACTGATCTCACTTCTGGAGCCCCAGAGAGGACTACAAAACCACAACTTTCATTGTTGGGTTCATTCGCCGCCGTGAGTCTTCTATTAAGTGGAAGCTTCGAATCCCGGGCCCGGTGACAACACCCGGTAAATAATTAAGTGTAGAAGTCTATGAATGATTCATCAGCAGCACCGTGACCCAAATCTACGGAGGCCAGGCTTAAAATATCTCCCGTTAGTAGGTCACGGAGCTCAGCGCAGCGCAGCGCCGTCCAAATAAATGACTTTCCTGCCCCTCTAATCTGCCCTAAAGTCACTTCTGTCATACAGCACCTGCCTTCAGCGAAGCGCATGAGAGCAAAAAGAAATGTGCCGCGGGAAGGAGGAGAGCAGCTGCGAGATCTTCTGATGGTACATGTATGAAGGCGCAACACGTGATCATGACACGGAAGAGCCGAATCCAGGAACATGTTTAACAGATATATATATATCAAATCAATCAATCAATCAGTCTTCTATCTGACCTCCGTCCTCCCCTTCAGTCTTCTATCTGACCTCCGTCCTTCTCTTCAGCAGGGGCGTGTCCCGAGGCCGGCTGTCCCCCGGAGCGGAGACCAGGTGACACCCCCGCCGTGACGTCATCGCAGATGCGAGGTAATCTGAGTGATGCCTGCCATCTTGGCGATGGATACCGGCAGAGAAAGGAGGGGACGTTCACCGGGCGGGATAAGGTATGCCGCCGGGTCCCCTCCTCTATCCTGATACTGTCCATGACCGAGTGCCCGACTTTTCAGAGGGGGGTGACACCAAAATGACTGTCAGTCATTTTGGTGTCACCCCTCCAATGGTGTCACCCCTCCAATGGTGTCACCCTTGTGACGCAACTGCTAGTGTTCTACCCCTTACACATTCAAAACTACATAGATTCACTTTAAATGTCTGCCCCCCCCAGGGGAGAATGAAGTGCAGTGTGTGCAGCGACGGGTTCTCTTACCTTAGTGTCATCTTCACTTTCCAGGCTGGATACAGGAAGGGACAAAACTGAAGAGAAAAACCATCAAAAAACATCATAAAACCGAATTCATTTTATGTCACAAAATGAACAAAAATAAAACGTAACATAATTCGCACATGACTACTACCCCCCTCAGGCGTGCAACTACAAATCACGGGGCTCCAAAAGCACAGTTCCCCCCCGGCTATCTCTTTGTAGCAACCGACCGTGTCCTCCGAGACCACACGTGTCCTCCGAGACCACACACGTGTCATAGATCCTCACATACAGTATTCCTAAACCACGGACAGGCAGCGGGAGAGCCGTCGGCAGAGTCCGGAGAGGAGAAGGAAGCCGGGAACGCAAAGTTATAGTTGTAGCAACAATAAAATGATGATAATAAAACAGAACGAGGGGGGATTTACCATAACTGGAGCAGCTGTGCGCGGCAACCAATCAGCTTCTCCGTCTCATTTTCAAACCTTAACTGAACAAGCTGACGAGAGAAGCCGATTGGTTGCCGCGCACAGCCGCTCCAGTTTTGGTAAATTCCCCCTCAATGAGATTTTACATTATAAAAGATTTAATGCCTCGGGCACACAATTACTTTATAACCCCAATACAAGAATCTTCCACCTCGGACTACAACCTGAAGGACTACAACCCTCAGCTGAAGGACTACAAACCTTGGCTATAGAAACTACACACCTCAGTTGTAGAACTACAATCCCCAGCTGCAGAACTATAACCCTCAGCTGTAGGACTACAAACCTTCATTGTAGAACTACAACGCTCATCTGTGGAAATACAAATCTCAGATGTAAAACTACAACCCTCAGCCGTAGAACTACAACCCTCAGCCATAGAACTACAAACCTTAGCTATAGAACTACAACCCTCAGCCGTAGAACTACAAACCTTAGCTATAGAACTACAAACCTTAGCTATAGAACTACAACCCTCAGCCGTAGAAATACAAACCTTAGCTATAGAACTACAAACCTTAGCTATAGAACTACGACCCTCAGCCGTAGAACTACAAACCTTAGCTATAGAACTACAAACCTCAGCCATAGAACTACAAACCTTAGCTATGGAACTACAACGCTCAGCCGTAGAACTACAACCCTCAGCCGTAGAACTACAACCCTCAGCCGTCGAACTACAAACCTCAGCCGTAGAACTACAACCCTCAGCCGTAGAACTACAACCCTCAGCCTTAGAACTACAAACCTTAGCTATAGAACTACAACCCTCAGCAGTAGAACTACAACCCTCAGCCGTAGAACTACAACCCTCAGCCGTAGAACTACAAACCTCAGCCGTAGAACTACAAACCTCAGCCGTAGAACTACAACCCTCAGCTGTAGAACTACAACCCTCAGCAGTAGAACTACAAACCATAACTGTA